TCACACCTTCGCATTGTAAACGTATCCCAGCACTGGGGGCCAGACTCAACGTAAGTACTGTGATCAGGGGGCAGACGAAAAGAGACGTCAGCCCTTTCTCGTATTAAATTTGTAACACGTCGATGACGATCTGCCACTAATAATATTGACGGCACGCACTGGGCGAGCCTACGCAATCATGCGTTTTTTCAGTATTTTTTGTTGTTGTAAAATCGCTTGGAGCCCCAGTAGATAGAATTTTTGTCATACTGGTCCTCGAAGTTCAGAAAATTAATTGTGCAACTACATGGTAGTTGGTCAGGAAACATCCCTTCAAAATTTAAGCTTTCAGTTTTTTCTGGCCCTCGAATTAATTTCCTCGCCAAGAGTTTTCGCAGGGTCGTATGTAAGAACTACACACATCTCGGGGCTGTAACTGAAATATTTAAGTTGTACACGAGTTGGGAACATTCCCTTAAAATTCCAGCCTCCCAGTTTTCCTGGTTCCCAAGTTAGCTATTTTCCCACTACGAACCTTCAAGAGGCCACACGTGAGAATCACGCAAACCTGGGGGCTGAATTTGAAACCTTTGAGTTTTATGTGAACGGAGGAACATAATCGCAAAATTTCAGCTTTCTAACTTTTCTGGCTCCCGAGTTAACAGTTTTTTCGCCAAAACTTTCACAAGCTTGTACGTGGGTCCTAGAAGTGCGTGAAGGTTGGTGCTGCAGTCCTGGGGCGACAATTGCCGGCGAAAGCTGCAAAATTTTGGCACCGGAGCTTACTTGGTTGCCGAGTTGGAATACCTGGACAGACACACGCACGTCCACCGACGCACGCACGCCCACATACGCACGCACACACACGCACGCGCACACTGGGGTCGTCACAATATGCGTTTTTGCATTTGCACATTTGCAAAAACGCAGGTTGCGCTTCGCAACAGCAGTAGCCACCCCTCAGACTGCGTGGCCACTGCTGTTGAGAAGCGCTACCGCGCGGGCTGAAATGAGGCCCCGCGTGCTTCTCTCAGATACACTCGCGAATTTCGTACTTTTGCAACTACTAGAAAAGACGTACTGTGGCACTGTGCTGCTGGCGGTTTCTCCCGGGGGATCTCCAGAGCATCGCTA